ATTTTTTTTTAAAGAAAACCTATTAGCAGTCAAGCTCAGGCGTGTGTGACTTGTTTTCACAGATGATTACCTGAAATGGTTCCTCCAGACATGATGAATAAGGTGTGTACTTAGATATGCATCCTTTTCCCTTTTAGACTTGTGTTCCTTACAGTTAAGTGTTAGGTCAGATTCATCAACATGTTAATGTGTACAAACACGTCATTATATAGTTCCTAGGGAACTTTTCCTGCCTCTGAGCTACCGTGGCAGTTTGTGTATATTTTTATTACATCTTTTGCCATGTCGTGTTCCAATGTACTTTATTTTCTTTCCCAGTGTACTGCAAACATTCTGAGGTCAGAGATCATATAGTACTCAGGGGCAAAATATTAGAGAGGTAAAAGGTCAGATTCTGGAAAGACATTAAAATTCTATCACATAATTAGCAGGGTACATTTAGAAGAATACATTTACCCTCTCTGTGATATGGGTTGCCCTGTGTCTTCCTCATTTTCATATGTTAAAGTCCTAACACTTAATACCTCAGAAAGTGGCCATATTTGGAGACAGGGTCTTTAAAGAGGTAACAAAGTAAAAGTGGAATATTTGTTTAGGCATTAATCCAACGTGCCTTGTGTCTTTATAGGAGGAAAAGGAAATTTGGATGCAGACAGACAAAAGACTAGGGAAACCTAGAGAAAAGGTAGACACTTGGGAGCCAAGGAGAGAGAATCAACTCTGCCATCACACTGACCTTAGGCTTCCATCTTCCAGAATTATAAGAGGATAAGCCATTACAGTCTGTGGCACTTTGTTATGGTAGCCCTGTCAATAAATAAACTGTTTCTATTTCTTCATATGCAAAATAAGTATTATAATGTTACCTGCTCCATTGGGTTGTTACAGGGATTAATTATACTCGATTATAAAAGAAACAACAATGATTACTTTAATTACTATTTATCTTTTGGTATCTCAGAACCATATTAATGTTCAGGATATATTAATAAGGAGTGAATATGTGTCTGTAAATAAAAGTTAATTATATGGGAATAAAATTTAAAACAAGTAGAATAATATTACAATAAAAACACAACCTATGCTTAATTTATTTTGTATTGGTTCTTATTGCACTATTTTTGGCAACTATTATTCTAATAAAATTAGTGGGTTTTTTTTCATTTGCCATTAAGAGAGTACATGTCTATACAACATGATTTCTGACTATTATCACAAGTCAGCACAAGCAATGTTGGCCCTATATTTGAAGGTGAGTTGGAAGATGTTAATGTTTCAATTGGAATAATTTGCTATATAAGTGTGATTTCCCAACCCTTATTTTGTCCCACTGAGTGACTGTGTATTGTCTAATGATTTGCTTATTTGCTATGCATTCTTTTGGTAAGTAAAAGATAGAAATTCCATAAATGTTTACCCAAGAGCTCAAGAGTCCTATTAAAATAATGTGGATACTTTGGAGGACAGGACCCA